TACTGTAGCTCTGGCACGGTGACAAAGTTGCAAAAAAAGTGACTTGAGGTTGGGTCATTCAAAGTGACCTGGTGACCTGACCTTGAAAGGTAGGAGATTCAAACTTGCACACCATGTGTAAAATTGATGTGGTTATAGTCATACCAAATTTCGCGGCGCTACGCGCCGCGGTTTTCCCGCTATTCGCGAAAAACCTCAGGGGGGGCGGATATCCGCCCCCCCGTCGGTGCGCGGGTTAAGGCATTTCTCGATCTTGTGAGTGCCGGCTATCTCAACTCAAATCTAATGTTAAGGTGGGAGGGTCCCTTTAAAACTTTCAATTATCATTGATAAGATCAACAGTATGCTCACATTGTACATCTAGGAATTTTGATATCGGTGGCCTAATATTACTGACCTGGCCTAAGGTCAGGTCAACTTTGCGAGCTCTCCAGTGTCTTCACTGTAGGTCAATGGAAGAAAGTTAAAAGGCGCCTCTTTTAGACTAACGTTATTCTAAGCACTTTTAACCCTCGCCGGACCTATTGGTTTTCTACATACGCGTCGGCCAAGGTGGGGGGGGGGGGGTAAGACAAGACCCCCCTCGCCTTTTCGCCCCTGGTGGAGCTAGCGCGTCGTGGAAAAAACGAGCGTGTACGCCGTTACGAGACGCAGAGATTGATACCCGATTTTAAGGTCCTAGGTCAACCGGTGACCTCTGAGGTCAGGTCAAGTGCCCCAAGGTATGTACGGTTCCGTTTTTGGTGAATAACTTCGCAAAAAACGGCCGCAGAGCCGCGGTTTTGGCAGCATCGTGTTGGCCTCGCTCAGGCGCGTCGAATGATATACTTTTTATTTGGGCGAGGTCAACTTAGGGTGTTAACCTCAGGTCACGGTCAGGTCAGCGCCCCCAGGTCACGAACTTTATCGAAGTATCGCATATCATTCGATTCGGCAGGTCTTCCTGAGTCCATTGGTGGCTTTCCCGACTCGCTAGCTTAATTTGATCGGGAGTTATTGACGAAAAACTAATATGACCCTAATGACGTCATTATGATAATTTATCCATTAGTGACGTCATTTATGACGTCACTTATGACGTCATAAATGACGTCACGCAAGGTCAACATTGCAAAAGTGAGGCGTATCTAACCTTACAAGGAGTGCACCAGATCACGATTCTGGGTGCTTGAGATAGTTGGAGATCGTTACCGGCGCTAGAATAACAGTTCATCATTTTTCCCCATTGACTTATAATGGTGAGGTCACGAAAATGACCTGACCTCATATGACCTTTAGGAAAAATCAGAGATATACAAGTTGTGAGACCCGTAATGGATATTAGCCCGCGCCCTGCTGGGGGGGGGGGGGTGTTTGAACACCCCCCCTTGTGGTTTTTCGCGAATATCTCAAAAACGGCGGCGCGGAGCGCCGCCGTTTTTGGTACACCTTATCATACATCATTTCTGCACATGTTGTTAAAATTTCAGACCAAGGTCATTCAAGGTCAGGTCACCAGGTCACTTGAAGTGACCTCACCTCATAAAAACTTTCAATGTCTGTCATAGCTACACCGAGTGACCGATCGCTTTGAAACTTTCAGCTCGATTGCTAAGAGCAATAGCATGTACAAAATGTATATCTCAGAATTTTGATATCGATGACCTAAGGTCAGGTCAATTTTGCGACCTCCCCATTAGGTATAAGTCAATGGGAGAAAATTGAAATGCGCCTCTTTTGGATGAAAGACATTATAAACACTCCCAAACACCGAATTACAAGTGGTTTAGACACACTGAACTTGAAAATGGTGTCCGTGACCCTTGTTTATGCCCTGAGGTCATCTTAGGTCACAAATGGTATCTAACAGTTTTTCGCAAATAACTTTTGATAGAGGCATGCTAGAGCGATGAGAACGCCTTAGATGTGTTCAGCTCGACGATACGGATCGACTGATATGCAACATGACCCTTTCCGGTCAGGTCATGACCTTGACCTGAGGTCAAATTTTCAAGTTGACCTTTCAAGGTCAAGTCATAGTTCATTCGATGCGTCTTGACGAGAGGAACACGATGCCGGTAAAAGTAAGCTCGTACAAGGCTTGGGTCAAAAGTTATTGCAGAAAAACTGTTTTCGAAAAAATCGGCTATTTTTGCAGTTTTTGCCCCCTGCAGGCAAAACCGTTGACGTTAGGTCAAATTTGAGAGAATTACTCAGAAAGGGCGTTAAAAGAGCTATTGAATGCGCTTTTCCGCGGCGCTGTAGCTCTATTGGTTCCCGAGTTATGCGTTGGCTTCTTGGAAATTTTCGACATTCGACCTGGAAATCGGCGAAATTTTGCCTTCAATGACCTCTGGTGACCTGACCTTTGACCTGACCAAAAAATCGACCGAAATGATTTCGTCATTATTTTTGACGCCCTTTCGAACGCCGCCTTCCGCGTATCGCTACGTGGCCCAGGAGCCGAGTTACAAGGGGGTGTGTTCAAACACCCCCCCCCCCAGCAGGGCGTGGAAATCCAGGACCCCCAGCAGGGCGCGGGTTAGATCATCCTGCAAGTTTCATTTCCCTGCGAAAGCTCCTCTGGCAGTGAGGGCGTAACGAAGTTGCGACATCTGAAGACCATGCAGAGGCTCACTTATGACGTCACAGGTCAGTGACCTGACCTGACCCGAAAATGCGGTTGGTGGCAAAAGATCCGGCTTGAATCAAAGGTCAGGTATGCCAAGTTTCAGCACTCTATCGCCAGCGTGTTGGAAGCTATCGCGAAAAACCCGGGGGGGGGGGGCACCCGCCCCCTTAGCCGGCGAGGGTTAACCCTCGCCCCGTTGGGGGCCAATTTGCCCCCCCCCCCTTTGGTTTTTCCTGAATAGCAAGAAAACGGCGGCGCGCAGCGCCAGAGGCGGATCCAGCTCAGAGTTTTTTTTTTGGGGGGGGGGGGGGGTCAAACCATAACCATTTATCGATTCTTTCCATGCATCGTCCATAGGCGTAATGTTAAAATTATGCCGTTTGGGGGGGGGGGGCAAATGCCCATTTTGCCCCTCCCCCCTGGATCCGCCACTGCGCAGCGCCGCCAAATTTTCAGTACCTTCCCGGGCATCAATTTGAACCTTCACGCCAAATTTCAAGTCTTAGGTCACCTTAGGTCAGGAGTTATTGAGGTCAAGTCAAACCGAGGTCATTTTCGAGCAAAAATGAGCAAAAAAACATGCAATCTTAAAACGCTCACCAAATCTACAGTTACTAAGCAATTTCAAAGTTCTTTATATGGTCTAGTAGACAAAAAGCGGCGCTACAAAACTGTTATTTCGGATTTTTAAAATTTTGGGTTTTAACCCCAAAAGTTAAAAAAATTGAATTTTTAAAAGAAAAACTTAAAAAATCCAAAAAAAATCCGAATTTCGAAAAAAACGGAACAAATGTGATAGTCCCTGCGCTCTTCTATAGACATACCAAATTTCAGATCGATAGCTCGTTTTTGGCCAAGTTATAGCAAAAAAAAAAAAAAACTTCAAAACGATGACGTCAGATTTTTTAGCTCAATTTTTAGCGATTCTAGACCACGTAGGGCAAAACAAAGACCACCATTGAACTCCCCGTGACGAGCTGCATCGAATTGATACCCATTCTATGCAAAAATATCAACTTTGAAATTTAACCTAATTTGACCTGACCTTGACCTGAACTTGACCTGACCTTCACCAGAACATAATCTTAACTGACCCCAAAGGCTGCCTGATCTACATAATCGTATTTGACATATAAAATGGACCATAATACATGCATCACATATTTTCATATTGTGACCCTCAGTGACCTGACCTCTGTGACCTGACCTGGTATCAGTGACCTCAAATAGCAAAATATGTGTTTGAAGAACATTTCCCTATCGATGATTTTCAATGAAATGCATTTTACTCGATTTTACAACGCATTTCTTGAAATGCCTGTAAACGGTGAAACTTCGACCTTTGACCTGACCTGTGACGTCATCGGTTTGACCTAGGTCAATAAAATTAGGACACAAGGTAGTTCTCTGATAGGGCTATCGAACACCGTTTGCCGCTTGTCGCTAGGTTGCGTGGTTTTCGAGATCTTAGGGGGTGGGGGCCAAATTGCCCCCCCCCAACAGGGCGCGTTGCTCGGCAGAGCCCAACGGGGCGCGGGTTAAGCATCGAATTACAAGTAAACATAACACCAACAACACAATGAACCTGAAAAACACGCGTGACCCCTCGTTATGTCCCTTGAGGCCATATCGGGTCACGGATGGTTTTTTTTCGCTACCTAAGAATTCTTTACATTGTGTCGAGCATATTTGTCCGGCTCGACGATACGGCCATCGACTGCCACATGCAACATGGCCTTTTCCAGTCAGGCCATGACCTTGACCTAAGGTCAACTTTTTGAGTTGACCTTTTGAGGTCATAGTTCATTCGATGCGTCTTGACGACTGGAACGCGATGCTCCTTAAAGTAAGCTCGTGCAAGTTTTATGTGAAAATTATTGCGGAAAAACTATTCTTGTTAGCTTTTTTGCCCCCCTGCAGGCTAAGCCGTTGACCTTAGGTCAAATCTGAAAGGATTATTCAGAAAGACTGGATTACTTGCTTCATGATTTTTGACGCTCATTCGAATGCCACTTACCCCGTGTCGCTAGGTAGGTACGGTACCTACGCGTGGCCCAGGGGCCGGTTCGAGATGGCGCACAGCAGAGGAAGCTAATAAGTAAGGCCCTAGTGACACTTGATTTCAAGTGTCACTAGGCGGTTTCGATTCGCGCTGAGCCACTAGCCGATTTGTGTAAAATACCGCATAGTGTCATTAGTCACTACCTTCGGCTTCAAGTGTCACTTGGACGCCTACGGCCTAGTCTTGGGGAGGTCGGGCACTGGTGCATACGGCTGGTGTTCAACCTACCCAGCCCCATATCCCGGTGTGGTTGGCGCCAAGTACCGGCCCGGCGTGTGTTTAGTACTATTCATTTTACCTCCAGGCTCCAACCACAATTTACCCGACGCTTTTAAAGCATGGATTTTTGTGCTACCCATGACTTCTATAAACAATTTACCCTATGCTACTTTTGTGAACCCATGACTTTTATCTATGACCCAAGCTATGACCCATGAACTATGACTGTTTCTATGACGTCATCAACTTTCTATTTTTTGCTTTTGAAATACAAATTTACTGTCATCCTTGCGTGCCCCGAATCTTCCTTTCTCAAAGCCGCGTGTGACGAGTGCTGGTCGTCGCCCCGCGCATCCTTCAAATGACGATGTTATCTCGAACAACAGTTGGGATTGCCGCAGTTTGTGGCACCCTTTTCATGGGGTACTGCATTTACTTCGATAAGAAGAGGAGAAGTGCGCCCGACTTCAAGAAAAAGCTCCGCGAAAAGCGTGAGTAAAGTGCGCCACTTTCGCTCCCTTTTGCCGCACGTTACATCATTGAATGTTTTTGCTTTGTCACCATGATATTTACTTTTTCATTCGCCATGCACCTCTTTTTCTGGATAATTTTTGAATAAAAATAGTTGTGTAGAAGTAAAGCATGTGGCACACTTGTTTTTTGCAACCAAGGAGAGGTGCTGTAGGGCAGGCATCGGTAGGATTGTGATTGCAGGATTGCAAAATCCTGATTGCATTCCTTTTTGGTGGATTGCACCTGGATTTGAAATCCATTCCAAAAAACAGGATTTGATTGCAGATTGGATTGCATCATACTTCCAATTTTTGCAATCCAATCCGGATTGTGCTTGATTAGTGCTTTGAAATGGTTTGTTGCGATTGAAAATTATGAGATCGGCTTCATCGGCTTAATGCACTTTGCTATCAAGGGCTTTACATTGAAACTTGAAATAATTTAAACGCTTTTAATTTAAACGCTCAAAATAATATACGCTGATGAACTACATAGGAATGGAAAAATTACGTATTTGAGGGCGAGTTTTTAAAATATAAAACACTGGTTGGGTAGAGGTTTAAATGTGGGGGTGTTTGAGGCAAAAAATTTTTCCCATAAAATACCTGTGCCTTAGATAGGAATTACTCGCAAGACTAGGTACTAGAAATGGGTGATTTGGGCATGGAAGCACGGCCCTATGCCCCCCTCCCTCCCCCAGATCTACTAGTGCACATAATAATACAACAGGATTGCAAAAAAGGATTGCGGATTTGATCACAATCCAAGTGAAAAAAGGGGATTGCGGGCAGGAATGCAATCCACTGCGGCACTAGGAATGTGGATTGGGAATGCAATCCTTTCGAAAAGGATTTTACCGATGCCTGCTGTAGGGTAGGTTTTAGGGACGCTGGTGAAAACGGCGCCGGAGGGCATATTAGGTCACATGACTGTTGAGAAGTTCTCCCCCTCTTAGTGCCTTCTACACAGTAATTGCCATGTGGTTTGTGTGAGTGAATTTCAAGAGCCTTGATCAAATCGCTAGGTGCCCTGTTTTTGCGGTCGTCCAGTTTTAGGCTGTAGGTTTTAGGCTTTAGGTGGTAGATTTTAGGTTGTACGTTGTAGATTATAGGTAAGTGTGACACCTGCTTTATGACTTTAGTGGGTACCTACACTAAGTTTTCTGTAGCTATATATGGCCTGTTTATGTAACAGTTTAAAATGAATACCGTAAACCGGGGTGACAATGATACCCGGGGTGACTTTGATCATACAGGGTGTTTCACTAAAAATGTCAAAAAGAAAATGCTTATTAAAGATACATAAAATACGCAAAGCACGTGGTTGCCACGTGGCTTTGTTGCAAATTTTTGGACATTTATGCTTTGGCCACTTAAGATATATTTTACACTCATACGGAGCAAGGGCAGGAGGCCAAAGTTACTAGTCGTTTTTTTCCTTATGCAGAACAAGAACAGGTTATTTACACCGCAACGGGAGCGGTGGATTACACTTACATTTGGTGCTGTCAGAAACATTGAAACCGTACGCCGACTTTTCAGGAAACGTTTCACTCTCTCACCTCGCTACGACCCAGATTATAAAAGTTTCAAAGGGCTTCTTGAGAGGTTTAAAAGGGTTCCTTTGATGCCGGTTCCAGTCCAAAAAAGGCGGGTCGCCCCCACCTCTCGGCGGAAATCTTTGAAAAGGTCAGGGTCTTTTTTAGGGCCTCTTAAGATAACAAGAAGCTTATTTCAACATCAGAAATAGCCAAGCCCCCAATTTATCAGAAACAACCACTGGGGCATTCCACGATAGATCGACCAAGGCCTAACACCCGACCATTTTTGATTTTGATGAAATCTTGTCTATAGGGTTCTCTTATGCCCTGAAGTCAATGGCGACAACGCCAGGCCCCTACGGTCAGCGGTTTAGGAGATATAGCCCCGGGCATTTTGACGAGGTCACTCTGCAGAGTGATTTTTGAGGTGCTATATCTCCTAAAGTAATGAAGGAAATGCATTAAACCTTTGCATCGTTGTGATCGTGGTGAAATGGGCAATTAATTGGCCATCTCGGATTTTCAAAAAAATGATTTTGATTTTTAGCTGTGACGTCATCAATTTTTAAACTTTCTGGCTACCCCCCTAGTACATTAAAATTTGCCATTATTTTTGCTCAGAAATAAAGTTCCGTCAATTTCCTTTCGACTGGGAAAAAACAAAAATGGTAATCTTTCTACAAATATTTTATTTTATTTTTTGAAAATCGCACTACAAACTCTGATTTACAGAATCGGGTTATTAAGCAATATAAGACACATCTGCGAGGACCAGTTACTTCCAAAAAGAGGTTATCTGGGTTTCGGCATATAATATTCTTCTCTTTAACTTCACTTTTGATAACAAAAAAAAAAAGAACTTTAATATTACTTGCACAGGAGTCAATATAATGGCAAAATTATACATACTTTTGAGCTGCCACAGCTGCCTTGTTTATCAACGTAGCTCAAATAAGTAAAAAGTGTGTTTGTGTGGCCGTGATCTCGTTCCTGTCTTGGTGCTTTGCCGTCTGTTATTGCAACTGCAATAGAAATGCACTCCGTTGTTTATGGCTTTTATTGCATCCAGCGTTGAAAATGATGATTCGCTGATGAAATACCTAGTCACATTACACCACCTTTTGCCTTCCTGAAGCTACCAATTATTTTGTTCGTTTATAATTAGTCGGTTCGTAAATATGCTTTGCAAATCGACTGTCGGTTGGTCATTTGAGCTACGTTGATAAACAAGGCAGCTGTGGCAGCTCAAAAGTATGTATAATTTTGCCATTATATTGACTCCTGTGCAAGTAATATTAAAGTTCTTTTTTTATCAAAAGTGAAGTTAAAGAGAAGAATATTATATGCCGAAACCCAGATAACCTCTTTTTGGAAGTAACTGGTCCTCGCAGATGTGTCTTATATTGCTTAATAACCCGATTCTGTAAATCAGAGTTTGTAGTGCGATTTTCAAAAAATAAAATAAAATATTTGTAGAAAGAGTACCATTTTTGTTTTTTCCCAGTCGAAAGGAAATTGACGGAACTTTATTTCTGAGCAAAAATAATGGCAAATTTTAATGTACTAGGGGGGTAGCCAGAAAGTTTAAAAATTGATGACGTCACAGCTAAAAATCAAAATCATTTTTTTGAAAATCCGAGATGGCCAATTAATTGCCCATTTCACCACGATCACAACGATGCAAAGGTTTAATGCATTTCCTTCATTCCTTTAGGAGATATAGCACTTCAAAAATCACTCTGCAGAGTGACCTCGTCAAAATGCCCGGGGCTATATCTCCTAAACCGCTGACCGTAGGGGTCTGGCGTTGTCACCATTGACTTCAGGGCATAAGAGAACCCTGTAGACAAGATTTCATCAAAATCAAAAATGGTCGGGTGTAAATCTGATAAAATTTTGGTCGATCTATCGTGGAATGCCCCCACTGTAACGGCTGTAGCCACCAAGAACTGGCTGGACCAGAAGTTCCGTTCCCGGGCCGAATAATCAGCTGCCTCACCGCCCGCCCCTGGCCAGCGCGAGGCCCCGATCTGTCACCGCTAGCCTTCTGGTTTTGGTCAGTAGCTCTCGCAGAGCTGAGGAAGACTTAAGTCGCATCACTTTTGGAGCTGAAGAGCACAATGCAAGGATTTGCCGACAGTCTGGACGCTGAAGATGAAAACGGGCTGTGAGGCACCTCCGGACACGTGCCGAAACGGTGCATCAAAAGAAGCGGCGGATATGTGGAATAGGTTTGAGTGACGGTGATATCATTTTTATATATTCAAATGTTCAACAATCGCGGATGGAATGATGTGCAAATGTCCATAGAAAACATTGTTATTATGTGCATAAGGGCCTTTTACTTTTTGACACTTTTAGTGAAACACCCTGTAGACCAATTTTGGGCCTCAAATGAGCAATTAGCTGCTGTGAACTGTATTTTCTATGCCAATAGTTAAATAAAGCAATGAAGCATTATATCAGACACTTTGGGTCCCATTTAGAATAATCATGTTCATGTCACAGCTTGTTTTTTTTTTGTTGTCATTGGCATGAAGTATAAATTCGCTAGCATCTCCAGCAAAAATAAGGGTAAAGATGAGAAAGACCCAGATAAAGAAAGAGAAAGGAAAGGCTTAGATAGGTACTGATGATGGAGGATGAGCATTGAGCTGCTCTATCTCAGTGGTAATTGGAGCGTCAATGGGAAGTGAAAAAGACAATCAGCTGGGAGGGGCATGAACAGTGTGGCAAGTGGTCCCACAGCCACCAGCAGACAAAGTGTGATGTAGAACAGGTAGCCTGTGGCTTAGGACATCTGTGACTGTTACTTAATCTTGAAGTCAGAGGTTAAAGTAGCTAATTTTGCTGCTTATAGGTAGCTCTGTAATGTCAGTTTAGACCCAGAGCATGCAACTTTATTTTAATACCTCAATGATTCATAGTTTTACTGTAAAATGTGTGAGTTTTTGTCAAGCAAAGCCTATGATTTTATTCAAAACATGTAATTTTATCACACAAGCCCCTTCTGAGGGCTCCTATGGCACACATAAGGTGATTTTAATGTAGTGATCATAGTCACCCCGACGTCTGGGTGAGAATGATCAATTTTTTGGTAAAAAAATAAAATATTTATGATAAATTTCAAGGCATTTATTGTACTCAGTTAGATAGAGAATTGTCCAATTGGTATGATGAAACAGTTTCCAGAGTGAAATCTCAAGATATTGTACCAAACTGGTCAAAAGTGATACAAAGTCACCCCAGTTTACGGTAGGTACCTCATGAGACGAGCATTAGGATTGAACAGAAGGTCAAAAGGCAAAATCAATAGTAAGCTTGATATTTTAAGCTGCCCAATGTTAATGTATGGATGTTGACCATGTGCTTATGCTTTTCACCTAAGCACTTTGAGTGGATCTCCATTGTTAAATAAACAGACTATAGCATTGGTGT